CCAATTGGAGTGCTGCATTATTTGTTGTCGGGCATCATAAATTGCCAAAAAGCGGCGACTTTCTACCTGAAAGATCTACGAGTAGTCGGCAAGGTCGATTAGTCATTAGAGTGCAGCACCCTGACCAGTATCAATACCATACCATACCAATGTCCAGAGTTTTCAGAACCGAAAACCCAAACCCAAAACTCAAGTGGCCTGGCACTCAGTTTTTTCCCCGGCCAGTTTAGTCAAACAAAAAACGGAAAAACCGAAAAACGGCATACAGGCAAAAGGAACAAAAAGGGGAATTTATGTTTTTGCCGGTATCATAAAACCATAGCAATGCACCGAAAAAGAGACGGGTAGACAGGCAGAACGGGAGTGTGAGGGGTTAGAGGATATCCCTGGGCAGGTCGTTAGCCGATTTCGATGCCCCGGGACATGGTTGAGCAGTGGGTAGTCCTGCAACGGATAGAGATATGGGATATGGAAGCAGGAGCAGACATGCCCAGCCAGGACTCGGATCGGCCATGCCCAAATGCCTCAGATGATCGAGACCCTTGATAAGCGATCGGCGAGCTAATGGATTTAGCAAAACAAATACACAGAGGAAAGTTTCTGGCCAAATCCAATTATCAGCTTACAACACGAGGAGATCGGGGCAAAAGCTCCTGAGAAACTTGATTGATTTCGGTAGGCGAGCGGTAGTTACAAATGAACTGCTACCAGCTGGCCGAAATGCGCTTTTGGCCGGGCCAACAAAATGGGTCGCTGTCGAAAAGTGAGAGGCCAGAACGCGGTTAAATATATTTGCTTTCAGCTTCTGCTTTTTTCTTTTCTTTTCTTTCTGTTTTTTTTTTTTTTTTTTGGGTCCGCAATGAAAGTAAAAAGTGAGTTGGAGAAATGGGAGCAGCAGCACTTGCGTGCGTGCATACACATACGAGTATGTAGGTATGCATGTACATGTACAAGAAATCACTTGGCAATGTCAATTTCAATGCCATTAAAACGAATTTCGTTTTAAATGCAAAACACAGGTAGAACGGGAGATAACGAGGGTAAAAACTACAAATTACCCTGGGCGGAAGTGCCAACACAAATCGGAGTGGGCTACCCGTCTTTAGACCGCAGTCTTGACAAATTATACCCGACATTTTGGCCGGCAGCTGAGCTTAATTCTTGGCTGGCCTCCATTAAATGAGCTTGCAAATTATATGCGCTGCTGCTCCTGCTGCTGCTGGACACTTGATTCATGGCCCGGCTATTATACGTCATCGTAATTGAAATGTGACTGGAAATGGACGTGGAAATGTAAATGCAAATGAAAATGGAGATGACGATGACGATGACGATGACGATGACGATGACGATGGCGTTGGCGCTGGAAATGCGTGCAACAAGTTTCTCGTTTGAAATAACCTTAGAATTAATTGCCTCACGTTTCCGACTCAAACAAAAAAAAAAAAAGCAGAAAACAAAGGCAACTGTTCAAGTTGAACCGAAAAACAAATTTTGGTTGGAGCCAAACAAACACTCGCACACACACACACACACGTGACCATCACATGCCAGCGAGGACAACTATTGATAGATGTAACAAATTTCCCCACCCCCAATTGTCAGTTCGGTTTTTTTTCGATTACAAAAGCAGCAGCAGCAAAAAAAACAAAAATGGAGGAAAAAAACACAGCAAACAAAAAAAACAATTGTTGATTGACTTACAACATAGCAGCGACGAACTTGAGCTCTTCACTTTTCTAGTTATTTTCGAATTTGCGGCTAATGATGAGGTCATAGGAGTTGGAGCTTGTAAGTCGCACGTTTTCATACGACTCACATTACCATAGCTGATTATGCCAAAAGATTCCGATTCTGATTCCAATGCCGATTCTGAATCTGATTCCGAGGCTTTTCAGCCCCGTCACCGATCGTAAAAGCCAGGCGAGCGAACTAAACAAGCTGCGATAGATACATTTTCAGTGTTTTCCCCTTTTGGGCAGCACATAAAACTCGATCGGGTCACAGTACGGGTATCTGTATCTGCTGGATACCAGATACCATATACCATATACCAGATACTAGATACTGAACAGTGAACAGTGAACACCGAATGCTGAGCACTGCATACTGGGCACAATGGGCCGTCATCGGGCTGGGGACAAGCCCACACATCTGGCCGCCTGCTAGCTCTGACAAATTTATCGACTCGCCGCCACACGGAAAAGATATGCGCAGCTGACTTGGCATTGAGGAGCACGTATCTGTATCTGTATCTGTATCTCGGAACGTACGGGTACACGGTTGGAAAATCTTAAACAGTGAGCTGATAAACTTTGAAGTTTCTATGCATCTGTTTCAATTTAACCAAGGCCACGAGTTCGGGTAACAATATGCATCGTTTATGTGGAATATGTAAACATCTTGTAAAAGTATTTCTTCCGGTGTATCGCGTCACTCGCATGCAACAATTACAAAGGTTCTAAGCGATTATTAGTCGAAAGAGAAGAAACAACGGGCCGGCAAAAAACAGCAAACAGTGGAAACTGCAAGGGAGAGCCGAGGGTGGAGCAACAGAGATGGCGCGAGGAAGCGAAAGGGACAGAGCACAGCTCGAAGCCGGCTGTTGCATCTCTTTCCCACCGCAACGCAGTCAGCCGGCAAACCGCTTTGGTATTGGTATTGGTATTTGTATCTGTGCGAGCGTCTATCCCACAGATGCATGTGTTCCGCTCATGTAGCTAACTATCTTTGTATCTTTGCCATCTATATGTCTGACTTATGACGCAATTCGAAAAGTTCATCTGATCTTTTTTGTGCTCTGTCCCTCTCTTTCTGGGTATCTCTATCTGTTTCCATCAGCCGGTAGATGTTGTTGTTGCTAAGGCGCGGCCGCAGTCCGTAGAATTAATCTATATAATTAGCTGTAAAGCGTAGAACATCAAGCCATATATCTCTATTTAGCCCTGAATTTCGTAGCGCATTTATTGCAATTGTTTCCCCTCATTTACATTACTCTTTTTTCTCTATATTTTATTGTGGATGTTTGTTCCTCCATCGGAATTCTTTCACGTAACCGAATTCTAAACAAATTTTCATTACGACACGATCTCATCATCATCTCATCCGCAGAACAGCATCGTCGTCATTGCGGCTGTTTTTTCGGGTTTGCGCGTTTGGATTCGGGGCGATTCTATAAATGCCCAAACCGATGATGTTTCACTCTTGAATTATTTTTCGCCGCTTTTATTTATTAATTTTGTTTGTGTTTTTGCCTATCCGTTGAGCAGTTCAACGATTCGAGTGACGTAATGGCAAGGGGGCTGTGGCTGGAGGATTAGCTAGATCATGTGTGTGGGATCAACTTGGGGGAAGAAATTCACGACTGAGCGGTAAAGATGTGTAATAAAGGCCAAACAATAAAGTTTATAAGCTATTGCATTTGTGCAGAGGTATTCAATACGGAATTTCCTAGTCATTTCAGTGCTTCTATATTAACATGGGATCAAAGGGTCTTTGGCAATTAAACGCAACATAAAAGTGCCACCGAGCTCGGGCTTTCTTTGGGCACCGAAGATACGTAATTAAATCTGAAGCCGCTTCAGTTTCTGGTCAATCTAATCTAGGGGGCTCGAACTGGCCCTCAATCGAGAGGGGTTCTCTATATCGGAACGCATGAGCAAGAAGGCCAACACAGAGCGTAACCCAATTACGTGCCAAAAAGCGGAATGCGACCCTCGACAAGTATTTTTTGTGATTTTCTCTTTTTTTATTCGTTGCATAGTTGCACATAGAACGCGATTGCACATACACACACTTTATATACGCGTATGTACACACTATATATCGCCATATCGTACGGTACTGTACGCTGGGGTGCGAGTAAATATATGCTCTGAATACCCTAGTACATAGGCGCATAGATACATATGTATGTACATCTGTCTATGTGCATGTGTATGCTGCTGCGCCCCCAAAAAGGGGAGGGGCATGCTGTGGTGTGGCCAAGTCAACCTTGACACACTTTTCACCGCCCCACAAAGCTGATGATGCTCATGATGATGTGGATGTGGATGTGGATGATGATGACGATGATGACGATGCTGCTGGCGATGATGAACAAAAAGTATCTAAAGGATGCAGAAACTGCCACTTCCCCTGCCTTTTTAGTTTATTGACAACCAACATACAAATAAGGTTGCTTCAAAATATCCATCAAGTAAGAAGTGAATTGGACTTCTATCCAGTATAGTATAGGATGTGCACACTCACCTCATTTCCAACTGTTGTGATCTTGACAATCACCTCGTCCTTGGTGGCGTCGTGCTTGACAACATCGCCGCTCTGCTCGCGTCCGTTGTAGGTGAAGTAGACCCGCTGGCCGGGCTGCAGCTCGGTGTCCATGATGGACCGGAATCCGGGTCCAATCAGATCCGATTCGCGGAACTCCTTGATCATGGCGCTGCGGCGCAGTGCCTGAGCGGGACTGATGTGTACGTTGGCAGCGCGACGCGTTTCCACGATGACCGACGGATCTGTGGAGGATGTGGACGTAGACGTGGACGTGGACGTAGACGACGTGGTCGCGGTTGGGGACTCGACGGCGGTCTTGAAATCTAAACGGACCAAATACCGCGTATCGGCGTTCAGCTGGGCCTCGCCGGGCGCCAGAAAGGTGGGCGGCGGCGGCGGCGGCGGCGAGAGCGGTCCCATGTACGAGGGCGGCGTTTTCACGTCGGATATGGTGCCGGAGTACCAGAGGCCATCCGGACCCTTGGCGCACACCTTGGTGCCGATGATGGAGCGCTTGGCTAAACGGCGGCCGGTGGACATTTTTGTACGTTCGGTTATTCTACTTTTAAGGGGGGAGGAGGGGGGCTATTTAGTTGCCAGCGCTTTAAGACACGCTGGATTTGCTAGTCTTTTTTACGTCTGTTTGTTTGAACTTAGAACTTGAACTTGGCCTAAATGGGTGGCCACATTTTCTCTTCGCACTTTAAACACTTTTGCTTTTTTTTTTCTATTGCACTTGAGTATTTGATTTTGTGGATAAGTGTTGCACACTTCTTTCCAATTAGTTGCACTTTTTGTTTGGTTATTAAACGCACATTGTCTTTTTATTTTTTGTATTATTTTGAGTTTATTGCGGATTAATGGGGGCTGTTTTAGTGGGTTACTTAAGTCTGGCAGACGTTCTTGGTCAGCCGGTACACGTGAAATTGGCCAAGACGGGGCAGTTTCTTAATGATATTCTTGTGATACAGCTCCAGAGAAAAGGTGACGCGGTACAGGAGCCACTGGGGCGGATGAAAATGCGGCTTTAACTTCACATGCTCGGCGTCGCTGGGCGTCTGAATGGCGTGGCAGTTGCGTTTGTGCCTAAGCATAATCCAATTTTGACCGCTTGTAACGTCAGCTTGCAGTTCGAGCTTCCTGCGGGGAAAGTTGATTTGTTTTTCGTTTTTCGCGCTTTTGCCGGTCGTTACTTTTCACTTTTCTCTCAGTTTTCTTGCCAGCACACACACACAGGAACGCACACACGCACACTTATAGACACACACTGGCACAACACAGAGAGCGATATGCGATGCAATTGGCGGCTGCCGCACTGATTTGTTTTGACTTTTAGGTTTTTTGTTTCGTTTTCGCTTGAAAATCGCCCAAAAAACTAAACGGAACACCAGAAGTGGGCCCGTTTGTCTTGGGTTTTTGGCTTCCACTTAGTTTGCTTGGCTTTTCACTTGGCTGTTGGCTATTTTTCAGTTGTTTTGGTTTGGCGGAATGGCCCGAAAAGCGCTTATCGGTCTGCTCCCGAGAGTTGGCTATCAGAGACTGAGGCGAGCGCACCAAAAACGAAACGAAAAGCAAACGGCCAGCAGTTACAGTTACCCACACACACACACAGACGCGCGCTCTCCCTCTCCGGCTCTCTCTGCTTATGTGTGTGTATATGTATGGCAGTGTTTCTATGGCATCTACCTGCGCTCGGAAAAGCAAAATAAAACACATGTGTGTGTGTGTGTGTACGTGTGTTGGGCCTTCCCGCAGCATAAAACTGTTAGAGGAAAACTGCAATTTCCACGGCTAACAGAGTGTCCAAAGCAGTGGAAAATCATATAAATATGCTGTCTAAGTGCGCAGTACTTAATCAACAAAATAACTATGACGCCATCACTGAATGGATGGAGCATAAAAGATGGGGGCAGCATAGGAAAAAAAGAGCAGCATAAAATACTACGCAGTTATAAAAACAAAACCAATCTACAGAGCACTTGTCAACGCATACGCGCATCATAAATGTGCGTGTGTGAGTGCGACTCTCTCTGGTTTATCAACAACAACAGAGCGATAACAGCTGTTGGAGGCGACGCAGCAACAATGTTGCGAAAACAGCTGTTGAACAGCGAACATCAGCCCCAAAACAAACGAGAGAGAGAGAGAGATCGAGAGAGAGAGGGAGAGAGAGAGAGAGTGCGGAATACGGAGTGGGGCAACACTGTTCTTGGATCCTCTTCAAACTTTAGTAGATCCCGGAAATTTTGCTCCCTGAACTACAGGTATTGCATACATTTCAATCCGTGATTACCGAAAATCATATTGCCTACTCTAAGGCGTTGGCCTTAAAAGTCCATAAAAGGTGCTCCTTTTTTTGCAAGCTTTGATTTCCATTACTCTCTAAAAAAAACGCCATTTAAACAGAATTACATTTCAAATGGTTTTAGATTATAACTTACAATCTAGAAATATTGTGTTGCGACTACCTATGAAAGTAAGTCGCAAATGCTTTGTAAATTTTATAGTAGGGCAGCGGAAAAGAGCCGGCCGGTTTAACGATAACGTCACAGAATTTAACAGTTAAAGAGAGCGCTGTGTTGGATGTGCGTGCGTGCGTGTGTGTGTGTGTGAGTGACTGTTTTCCAACTGTGTGTGAGCGACTCACAGCTGTTATGTGCTTTGAAATTCATTCGATTTTGTTTACATCAATTCCAAGCTGGCGCTGTAGATGTGAATATGTTGCTGCGCTGCCGATGGATGTGGATATATGTGTTTCGAGGTTTTCTGGTATTTTTGGGCTCTCTGCGGGCCGAGCATTGTTGTTGCCTTTGGAATGACCTCTGTAGGCATTCTCCGGCAACGTCAGCAAGTGTCGAAGGGCGATGGAAGGGGCCAGAATGAGCCAGAAGGGGGGGCGGTGTTCGTTTATTGCGGGAATGGGCGTTCCAATCTTCAACTCCAATAACCATCACATCCATGAGAGATCCAGAACGCCACGGGACCAAGATTTGCGTAGTTATTGTTCTGGAGTTTCTGCGTTTTCCGCTTCGAATTCAGGGTGGATTTTCTGGGGATTTTCATGCCGCCAGCATTATTGAAGACGTCATTTGCGAACGGAGTGGGAAATCGAGGGAAATGCACTGCGTATTTCCCACTCCATCAGCGCGATTGTTAAGTCAACCAAAAACCGAAATAGAAGTCAAAAAATGAAGGACGGACAGACGGACGGACGAACGGACGGACGGAAGACCTTGCCAGATAGTGCGGAAATACTGCTTACCGCTCTTATCTAGTCGAAAACTCAACTGATTAAAGGCGAAGGGAAAACTTATGTGGGTCTTATCTACGTTGGGCTACACAGAGAAAAAAGCTCCGTCACCTTTTAATACATAATTATGCGGAGAGGGCCAATAACGACGCGAGTTGATAAAACGTAAAGCCTTAAGCTGGAATTTACTTGTATTCAAACTGGTATACTATTGGAAAATCGTAATCCTTTAAAGTTTCAGCTGGTTCGACTGGTATTTTGATATTTGATATGGGTGGGTAAGCGATGATTGCTGATTTCTTCCCCCTTTCAGCCGGAATCGAAGAAGAAGCAGCAGATGAAGCAGAGTGGCGGCCAAGTGCAAAGATGAACTATCTGGTAAATTCAATTAATCATTTCTCCAGTGGAAATTCCGCAGCAGCAGCAGCAACAACAACCACAATACCAACAACAGCAACAACATGAAAACAAATCAACAGAGCGTTACCAGAGCTACAACAAATACGCAGTTACGAAAAGAAAACAACAAAGTGAATGTAAATGTGAATGTGAATGCAATCCACGGATTACAACACCAAAACAGCAAAGGCAGCGAGCGAGCGAAGGAAAACGCAAAAGGCAAGAGGCAAAACCAAAACAAAGCATAGGCGTTAGACGGAGCGAGATGGCGATAGTTGGATACAGAAAACGGAAAACATGCACACACAGATATACAGATGCACGCACACAGTCGCATTGACACATTACCCAAGCTGGAAAATAGGTCAACCGCCAAAGAGAGAGCCATGTAAGAGTGCGCTGTAAGAGAGCGCAATTAGAACGGGAATCGACTGTTAGCTAACAGCGTCCCCAATTCGCTGGCCACTCTGATTGGACTCGCTCCAACAGCAAAAAGTTCTTGGCAGCTGTTGCACTTGAGAATATACGAATGTACATGTATGTACATGTATGTATGTACCCGCTACCCCCTCCCCACTCATTGGCCAACTACCATTTTTCCGATTTTATTCGAATTTTATGAAAATTAAACCGGATTTTCGGTTTGCTTTGTAAAGTTGTAATTATGAGTTTAACCCTTTTTTGTCAGTGTTATTATAGCCGACGGATTTGGCAGGGCGCCGCTTTTATTTCCAACACTCTAAACAATAAAGGCAACTAAACAGTCATATGTAGTTATCATGTGCAATTCACAAAAGGTTGAGTTTTCAGTGGGATAACTTGGACTAAAATTAGTTAACTTTTTTATCAGCTAATTATCCTGCAAGTTCATTGAATAAATCATTTATAGCTTCAAAATATGTACCTTCTGACCTATATATCTTTTCCTAATTATAATCTCGAGTGTATTTTCATTCCCTTCTTTATCACATGCTCATACCCGTAGATATGCGCAATCTTGTGTGTATAAGTGTGGATTTGATTGGATCGCCTTCGAAACCGGATTTTCAAAATATGTATGTCATTCCATACCGTTCCATTCAATTACGCTGATGCCTAGGTATAACCGAAGGTACATATAGGTCCCACAATGGATGGCCTTTGTTGGAAAGAAATCAACTTGAAATTACCCCGATCGACGGACTGAGGAATGGGCGGGCAGTTGTGGGCAGTTGAGGGCAGTTGCCACTGGTGATGACGTAGACAAAGTGCAAGCTGTATGCAAATTAACGACACTGTATCGGATCGGATTAAGTGGCCATATCGGATTTGGATGGGGGTGCAAATCATCCACTGCTCCAATTTGTATAGACTTTTCTTAGACATTTTCGTGGACCAAGAAACCCATACGTCCCTTTAAATGTTATTAACCTATCCCAATTAAGCCGGATTTTCGTACTCTATCACATCATTACGCCATCAACCCCATCAGAGAGCACTCACTAATTAGAATCGCTTGGGTACACCCCCAAAGTTGTGAAGGAACATGTCAAAGTAAGGCAAATGTGCTGTCATGACTGCGAACTTGGACGTGGACATGGACATGAGCCTGGATGGACATGGACATGGATGTTGATGTGGACATGCCACCGACGCCGCGTCGAGTTGTCCATCAGAAAATGTGAGTGGCCAAACATAATGCTCGCACACAAAACAAACAAATCGCAGATGGCGGAAAATCGCCCTTGACTCGAAGTTAGCATATATGTATGTAGTACATATGCTTGGACATCAGCTTTGTCTTGGACTTGGTACTCCCACTCCAAACCAGAAGGCCTTGACATTTGGAGTTGCGTGTTGCGATCATTAGAATGTTTACCTGCTCGCTGTCAGAGTATCTGCTTCTATTTTCAGTTGTTTTTTTCCTTTTTTTTTTTTGTAAATTTTTATTTGACATCCAGGAGGTCGCGAGGGGAGATTCATTTGTACGGAATGGAAAATCAAGTTACCAACGGCCGGCCAACAGGGTCGTGTGATTGATGTGAACATGTCAGCGCGGACATGAAAGTGGACGGCAATGGGGTTTTGGTTTGGGATGCGGATTGCTATTGGGCTGGCAGGAAGCATAAATTGTAGACAAGATGAGCGCAGATACAAGATACATGCTGCTATTACACGACTCACAATCAGCTGCAGATACAAATTTATGTCATGTGCAGTCTGCTCATGTGAATGACAAAAAAGCATCGCCACGGACTGATAGAGTTTTGACAACCGGTTCCACACGGTGAGAAAAGATCACTACTAAGACACAAAGACTAAAGCTCTCCACAGAATGCAATGCAGAGCATTCTTTAAGATCCTTTAGCAAGCTGATTTTTATCTACTTCTTTGATTAATAAATTAGGTAAGTATACTAAAATATCAACTCAAATGGATTTTCATAAAGCTGTAAGCTGAAATTTGTCCATGTGCATTGGGG